CAGTGGAACACAGGGACGGAAATATATACGTATATATTGAGTAGTTTCAGCAAAACAACTCTCATGAAACTGCTCTTCAGAGTTTGCTGATGGGGAGAAGTATGCCTCACAATAAAAAAAATACTTTCAAACAATATATTATATTCATGCTCTTCAGGAACACAACTCTGAACAATTTAAAGCTAAACTTACTGGTAATAATTGTCATAGCTGCTCAGATTTGAAAATAATAATATTGACACATGACTGGGTTTGAACGTAATTCTTATAATTGCATAGATACTTCCCCCCTTTCTTTTTACACACTATGATACTATCTTTTACAAAAATACTTACAGCATTCTGAACAGATTGTAATGATGTAGTTTATTTCGGAATTCAAAAGTAATAGAAAGCTGAAGTATCGTATATTTTAATCCCATTCATCCACCTCCTCACAAAAAAACAAATCAAACGCTGCAATAGAGAGTAAACTATGTTGGAGTACAATTAGAGAAACGTTTTTCCCCATGGGAATCTATTTTGGTTTGAAAATGTTAATTGAAATTTGACAGGAGACACCACTAAGGATTTGGTTTATTTCCTAGCTTTCATTCTACACTACTAAGATGCCACAATGTACAAACCCAAAGCAAGGACCCCTTAAGCTACCACAACTGTCCGTTCAAAGTCCATAGGGCTATAGCATAATCTACATAATTAATGAACCACATCTGTAGAATACTAAGTAACACAGGGAAGGGGAATGAATACAAATGAGAGACTTATCACAGAACAAAATCCAAGCAGCTTGAACAAATATGAATTTCAATAGAAAATAATTAGTCTAAATAGCTGCCAGTCTATATTTTTAAAAATGCGTGCCAGCTCCACTTTTTAATCCTCATTACAAACTACTGTACTTCTCTAACAACTGCTACATTGTTACTGCCAATTAACTTTGTTCCACTGCAATAAAAGAGTTCCTAAAATAATCCTGTAATTATTTAGGGGCATACAGCAATTAAAAAGAGTTTCTGAAACAGTCTTGCAATTATTTGGGGCCATATACCTATTTGCCAGTACAGCTAATAATTTCCTCTTCTACCTTCCACAATGCCACATGTACAGCTTGCGTCCCTTCCTAGCTTTACAACAGCTCTTTAACAACAGAAGGAAAAAATTATGCTCTCGGCCATTACAGTACCTCCTATAGACAGATACACATTTCTCATGCACATTTCTCATGCACTTTCCCCTTTTCAATATATTCCTATCAATACACACCCTCTTCATCTATGATAAGGACCTGCAACAGAGCACAACAATTAACTGTGAATGATTTTTCTACCCAAGTGTATGTTCTCATATTGATCTCTCAATAATAGCAAGAGGAGTTCCATGTAATTTGCAGCTTCCATTGCTCCTATGTAGAAAAGGTTGCCTTCTATCCATCAGATACAGCACTGAGAATAACTTACTGAAAATTAACCTAATGAAGCTTGCATTATTTTCTAAGAACTTTCATTTTGGCCTACAAAGACCTACGTATATGATTTGCTCTACTGAACTGAAGGATCAACCTTTTATCTTCGGAATGCCAACCATCTCCTTAAAACCCTTGGAAGCTCTTTTCACACATGACAGAAAACAAATAGGTATGCTGGATAATGTTTTTGTTTCTAAAATTATTAGTTAATAATTTTTTTCAACTAGCTCACAAGGCAGATCACAAAATAAAACCAGAAATACATTTTGTTGTTGTTTAATCGCTTAGTCATGTCCGACTCTTCGTGACCACATGGACCAGAGCACGCCAGGCCCTCCTGTCTTCCACTGCCTCCTGGAGTTGGGTCAAATTCATGTTGGTAGCTCCGGTGACACTGTCCAACCATCTCGTCCTCGGTCATCCCCTTCTCCTCCACCAAACATATAATTTCAAGCTTATTGAAAACTGCAGCACAGCAAGAAAACAAAACATCTGAACAAATAATATGGTTTTCATATGACCCCTCCTCATAAGAGACTGTGTCAGGTAAGCATCTCTCTGAAGGTAATTCAAACAACAGATTGTCTCTGTCTACCTCTCACCTTGCTTCAGAGGGTGGGGCCGTGTAGAAAGGCTTATGAAGCTATTCTGTCTAAGATCACTTCAAAAGCAACATAAAATATTTTAAACAAGGGTCATATCTTTGGTCCACTATGTATGTCATGCACTCTCCAAATACTCAGACAAGTATACAAAATCCTACCAAGTCTCCTTAATTCACTGAAAAGTCACCTACACTGAATGTCTCTGCAGTTGGAAGAGTTTCATAGATAACAGATGGAAGCCTCATACTGAAAGCTATGTGAATAGCTCCCTTATCACTTTAGAAAATGCCATGGATGGATCCCAAATGTGTGTGTGTGGGGGGGGAGGGTGTTCAGCTAATAAAGAGAGCTGGAACAAACGTTCACTAGGAATTTCCAAGAGACATATCGAGAAGCTAGGCTTTTGCCAAGTACAATCTATGGTAGGACTCTCTATAGTGTCATTTATTGTTTTCTTCCGATTTGTTAAAGATGAAAATCTGTTATTTAATTATTACCAACACAGCATGCACTTGCCTACTTTGTAAAATGTTTTATTTCACACTATACTCCAGACATTTTCAGAACATAGAATGTCAAACCCTGTAGGACTTTCAAATGGCTTTGAAATTATCTCTCCTCAATTAATATTTCATTCCCTAGAGTAAGTTCATTAAAAATCCTATCATTGCAATTAGCAAATTACTCATTGCTTATCTTATTATAGAACTTAACTGCGTACTGCAGCCAATGCAATTTGGTTGTGCTTCATAGGTGCAATCTAGAAATGTGTACTAGTATTTTGTTCATGAAAATAAACATACCACAGGGTAACATATCTCCTCTTCCTCATGTTTTCTCCAAAAAGAGATTCCACTACTAGTTAGTATCTGCAATACTAACAAGCAAAAAACACAGATTTGTCAAGATGTTAATTTTTCTTTGTACAATGTGCTAAAATATTAAAGGAGTGTAGTAAAAATGCAATCCTTTTTAATGAGAAAGACAGGATAAAAATATTTTAAATAAATAAATCCTGAAAGTGTACATTTAGTTTTAAAATGAGGTTTGGACAGCAGTTTACTAAAAGTAACAAGGTCAATGTAAAATAACATTGTCCCTGAAGAATGTCTTTCATAGTAGCCTAACAGTCCAATGTGGTGGTAAACTGATAAGAAAGCAAAAACAAAGGAGAGGAAAGCAAACCCTCCTAGAGTCCTAAAATGTGGATAGAGCAAATTGGTACCTGACCAATTTACTCCATGAGCACTTTACACCCATGTCAGTAAAATGGTAGCCACGTAACTTTCTATTCCCACAGGTGCAGGGACCCATTTGATCAAAATCATAGCTGTTATCTAATATAGAGGCAACCTGTCAGCCTTGTAAGTTACAAGTCATATTTTTTTTCTACCCCAGTAAAGGTAATAGAGATTTCCACTTAAAAAAATCTGACTGTTCATAGAGATCAGTATCTTACTATATTAGCAAAATCCATTTGTTTACAATTGAAGGGAAATATAAACAACTGAGAGAAATATAAATATAAGGAGGCAAGACACACATACATGCCCTATGCCACACACAACAGATGCTAACTATACTGATATTGGGCACCAGACATCAATCAGAAGTAACATGGGGCAGCAGAGCTCACATCATCATCTCAGAACAGATGGAATTAAACTGGTACTGCTGGGTGAGCACTTAGAATATTTTTTATTTGTGTCCAATAACATGCTTAAAGGCTAAAAATGTATTTTTCATATATTCTTACTTTTAAGAACTTTGATATTATAAGAGAGGTTTTTTTTGCTTTTTAATTGTGCTTTTTTGATAAGAGAGGTTTTTTTTTGCTTTTTAATTGTGCTTTTTTGGACTATATAAGCGCTTGTATTGTCAGAATGTAATTAAAACACGTTTTTGTATTTTTATTATACCTTTTATACTCTTGTATTTTAGATAGAAATATGTTTTTTGACTTAAGTATTTGTCTACAACTTAAGTTTTGCTTCTGAGTGTACTTTTGTTTGGAATGTCCCATGGTTTTAAGAATTCTGGGTAGCAATTGCACTTGCAGCTTTTTACAACCTGGAAGAATGGACTTCTGTTTAAACTTTTGTGCCTATATTTTTCCTCACTGCTCTAAAAATGTTTCCAATACATTTTGGATAGTTGCTTTTGGATTTTATTTTATGTATATGGAAAATAGAAGCAATGCAGATGAATAAACCTTGTAAAATTAGACAAACTGATGTTGTCTGCAATTATTACAACACCGAACAAATTTGTGAAGATAAAAATAATTCTTTTAGGGAAAAAAGCACTGTATTTTTCCATGTGTAAGACACTACTTTTTCCTAAAATCAATACACTAAAAATTGAGTGGCGTCTTTTACACGTAAGTAAGCTGAGATAGCTGTGGAGTGAAAAAAATGGCACGTACCTTGCCTCTATAAACAGGCTTCCTTATGGCGTCTTTTACACGAAAGTAAGCTGAGATAGCTGTGGAGAGAAAAAAATGGCACATACATTGCCTCTATAAACAGGCTTCCTTCAGTCAGGAGACTTAGCTTCCACCAATCACGAACCTTATGGAACTGACATCAGCTGATGCTGTACAAACCAATTGGAACACACCTCATTGGCAGTGGAACCTATAGGCTCAGATTCAACAAGGACTCCTAATGCGTGACTTTCTGAGCTCAGAGGCTGAATACTGAAAGCTAAGTTGAGATTTCTTGATTTTGGGTTAGAAGTGGGGGGTGTCTTATAAACATGTGTGTGTGTGTGTGTGTGTTGTAAACAGAAAAATATAGTATACTTTGACATGAAAAATCAACACAAAAAGCTTGTTGACTTTAACTGGGCACTCACATTCCACTCAACCTTGACACTGTTAGTACACAAAATATTCTTAGAAAAGGTTAAAAATGAAGAAAATATACCTGTTAGGCACTAATGTACAGTCAATGTCTGGCCTTTTTGTTTTGGGAATGGCATAAAGAGGGTATCGGTCCCCATGACGAATCAGCACGTGAACAGAAATCAGTTTAAAATAATGAGGTGCATGACCTGTAAAAGAAAAACAAACAAAACAGATTCAGAAATTTGTCATTCATCTCAAAAAACACATCTTTTTCAACCTCTGTTTAATATCGTTCTTCAGACAACCTCCCTGTGAAAACACTAAGCCTAATGTGAGTATCTGATCATCAGTATTTCAGCAGAAGAGAGATATGTGACAAAGAAAAGTGTTTCCTTTGGGCGAAGGAGTCTCCTTATGTTGTTGTCGTCATGTGCCTTCAAGTTGCCTCCAACTTAGGCAACTCTATAAATGATTGATCTCTAAAATGTTCTGTCCTTAACGGCCCTGCTCAGTTCTTGTAAACTCAAGCCTGTGGTTCCTTTAGTGAGTCAGTTCATCTCATATTTGGCCTTCCATCTTTTCCAGCATTCTTGTGTTGTTGTTTTTAAGAGAATCCTGCCTTCTCACTAGGTACCCAAGTGAGACAGCCTCAGTTTCAACATTTTTGCCTCCAGAGATAGTTCAGTCTTAATTTGATTTAGGACCCACTTGTCTGACTTTCTGACAGTCAAGGGTATCGGTAAAGCTCTCATCCAGCACCACATTTTTAAAGGTTTTTTTTCCACCAGTCAGTGATCAGAAATACGTGAGTGTGGATGATCTTGTTCTTGGTATCCAATGACACGTCCTTACATTTGATTATCTTTTCTAATTCCTTCATTGTTGCCCTTCCTAATCTCAGTCTTCTGATTTCTTGGCTGCAGACTCCCTTTGGATTGAGGATTGAACAAAATATTTCACTATTTCAATTTCTTCATTATCAGCAATAATGATAAGCGGCTAAGCGAAGCGTCCAACCAGCAGGCGGAGTTATTCCATATAGTGCGCGACCTATCCGGAACTGGTCTGGATGATAGGC